ACACACACACACACACACACACACACACACACACACACACACAGGCGTATGATCTATTCGTTCCTCTATCTACTCTCATCTATCACTCGCGTCATTCTCTCTTACGCAGGCATGCTGAGTTACAAGTTGATCGTTAAAGTTTTACCTTATCTTTTGACGCGTTCTGCGAACATAATGCAAGAGCAATATTATTAGTCAACAGATAAGACATGGACACTGATTAAGCGTACATTTAAATATTACTTAACAAGTAACACGTTGTTCATGGCTCATCACTGGTCGTGAGTCATGATCAACATTGCGATCGACACGCATATTGATCGTCGAAAGAATTTTCATTGAAATTTTTCATTATAAGTATATTAAAAAGAGTTAACGAGATTTTTGCATAAAACGTCAAGATACGTGTACGACCATGTACAAATGCAAAGATAGAGCAAGAAATACTACACATATACAGTCTGAAAGCATGGCAGCCAAATGATGGCGATAAGGCAAGCTACAAAAGGGCTTCAATTGCGTGATTAAACGACTTTAGTTTCAGAGAGTGCGTGTTTCAGTTTCTTTTTTCTTTTTTTCAGGCGAGCTTGTGTTCCTCTTTCCATTGATTACTTTTTTTTCTTTTCAATTTTTTGCGCATTCGGCGGTAATCCACCGGAACGAACGATCTTGCGTGAGAAAATGCGCGGCAATTAACACGTGGAAAAAGAAGATAAACGAGACGAGTGTGCGAAAAAAAAAACGGGAGGCAACAGTATAATTAGATAGTGAAGAGTAGAAAAAACGCGAGTGGGCAGGCATGTGTAAGTAAAGCGTTTCTGCCATTATGTACGAAATAAAAGTGGAATTGTCAGCTTCAAATATATTTCGCAAGCCAATCTCACCTTTTTGCGTCCCTTTTAATCGTACATTTTATTTACTTCGCGCTATCGCGAAGATTTTTATCGCGAAATTACATAGATGGTAAGGGGAAGAAAGGGGAAGGGACGCGAGATAAAAAGAAATAGATATATCAGTACAAATTGGAGCAGTACTTTAATCGTTGTGACGTATCGGAGAAAAAAACCTAAGATAAAGTAAATTAAACGATGCTTCAAAGAAAAACGAATTAGTGAAGTTTTACGAGGCAAAGGAGGGGGGGGGGGAAGAAAGAGAAAGAGAGAGAGAGAGACAGGATAATGCGATTCTCGATAACAGCTAACCTTTCTTCTTATCGAATATTTGAAATACGCGCTCGCGTAACATCGTCTGACAGAATTTCTCTTATCACGTGACAAGAAAATACGAGCACGCCGGAGCAAAAGTCGTATCTGATTTTGCATAAAATACAAGGCGCTATGATCGCATTAACATTCCCATACATAGCGTCACGTTTCCATTACGGAGACGATGGGATCAATTCAAGTTTTCGAGCTTCGCCATCCGATAGACGCCAAAGACAGAAAGAGAGAGACGAGAAAATAAAAATCAAGAGCGATCTATTGCAATGAAAAATCCCATGAGATGGAAGAAATGAACCTGTTGTAAAAATAAGAAAAAGAAAATGTAAAAGAGAACGACGGTGGGGGGAAGGGGGGGGGGATAAATCTGTCGACGGGGGATATAAGAGAGTATCGGAGACACGGAGGAAAATATCTGACTTATTCACGTGCGCTTTCTTCGATCGTTTATTGCCACAACTTATCGCTTTTATATGTAACAAGTTGTACGTGAATATTTACGCAGAGTCAGCTTCTGTCTACGCCGCTCGTTTCGAGCCCGTCTAGTCCGGAAGAGGGATATAATCAAATATCGGCTAACTCCTAGGATTGTTCGTGCAATTTTCAATTCTCACTCGTTAATTTGTTTCGCAGCGCTAACGAACCAGTTTGCCGACAATTCGAACGAACGCGACGACGAAAATGCGCTGGCGAAAGAACGCGAGATAGAAAGGGTATCAAAAATGTTTTTTACGCGTTTATGTGCATTTATTTTTTTCCTCTTCCTTCCTAAATATGCGTTTTTTCACGGTTTCATATTGACGTACGCGCGTGTCAGGCACGATTATATAAACGCGATCGTGTTAGTGTCATATATGTGTGTATATGGTGTGTGTGTGTGTGTGTGTGTGTGTGTGTGTGTGTATGTGTGGGCGTGTAGAAGTTTCTTTTCGAAGGCCTTTTCGTTTGTTTTGAATTTTGTTTTATGTCGTAATAATAATCTTTGTGTTTTATTGAGATTTTGCACTCAAACTGTTTTATTTTCTTATATTAAATCTACTTCTTGGTCTGCCACTCTGCCTTCTCGGACTTCTTGGGCTGTGGAGAACAACACAAATTGCCTAGTCAACTACCACTACTACTACTTCCAGTACGTATGTATATCTACAGATGTCCTTTTGAGAAGATCCCGCTTAACAATGAAAGAAGTAGTTGTCAACATATTTTTCATTATAATTTTAATAAATTTATTATTATATCAGCTAATTTTGCGCTACGATGTATATTGTTCTTACATGAAAGAAATTAAAAAAAAAATCAAATCAAACAGCAAATCAAGCATAAAAATCAATATTATTTGAATTGTTAAATTAATAATGAACCTTATAATACGCGTCTAAATGTAATTATGGACAAAAAAGTATAAACTTTGTATAATATTAATTAAACAATATTGAGTGCTTACAATTAAAAAATTATTATAAATTATTATATATTATTATAATCTCAAAGCCTTTTATGGAAATTTGTGACTCTAATTAATCTTTATAATAAGGTATTAAAATATTGCAAAATGATTGTGGAGAAGCACGCTGTATATTCAGTCGTTTATTATTCGAACTACTGCAGTCATTGATTATCGCAATGATACATTTTGCGGTTAATCGATTTGCATAAATTTCAAACAACCTCGAAACGACAATGGCCTCGTATATTTAACTGAAAATATTGCGGTTTGATGAATCGATGATTAATTATCACGCGATTATCCATTAGTTCGAGACTTTCGAGAATTTTAGCTTCCAAATTAGCCGATAAAATAATATTCCTCTAGGGAAATGTATCATCATAAATATTTTACAACAGCAATATTGAAAAGCAAACAAGACCGTGTAAAGCGGATCTTCTAAATTGGACACGATACAGTGAACAAAAAAAAAAACTGCTGATACAAAGAAAACCTGCCAATTGGGTTTTGTACACAAAAAGAAAACCAGGGTTACAAAAACTGTTTTTTGATTCACTGATAAAACATTTACTATACTACTACAAACCTACCCGTCGTGTGGCCGTAAAAAATTAGCGTCCCTTGCAAAACTCAATCTCAATAACCGATGAATTTATCGGTCGAAATTAAAATCGCAGAAATATAAAACGTATAATCGAATTTAAATAAACAAATGCGAGATAAAAATCAAATTAAATTGCTATTGAAATAGATAGAAATAGCTGTAACATCGAGGTCAAATTCTTTTGATTATATTCCATGAAATTTATTTCGGCTCGATAAATTCAAAGAACGGTTCAGTGGACCTTTGACGGGTAGGGAAAAAACATTTTTACAAAAATATTCACGTCCTCTAGACGCGAAGATCTTAATCGAAAACGATTATCCTTACCTCCTTGTCCTCCTCCTCCAAGGTGAATTCCTTCTTCTTGACTTGCTTCAACTGGTTACGGAAATTAAATTCGGCGGCTTTCTTCTGGAGCTTGGCGAACTTGTTCTCGTATTTAGACACTTTCTTCAGGGTTGGCTTCATGCTGAAATAGCAAGGGAAGAATAAAATATTCATAAATTCTTAATGTAAATCTTAGTATATTTAATATTCCGCCAAAAAATTGTATTATATATGATTATTATTATAATGATGTGGAGAAAGGGGAAATACTTACAATTTACCTCGCAGATCGTTGACCTGGCTGTTCAACTCCGCGATCTGCACGTATCGAATATTTTTTATTAACATCCATTACATTCAATATCGCTACATAATTTACTCATGCGCATTTATAATATTCTTTTTATATACAAAGCAAAAGGAAAGAGTTTACAGTTTCAAATATGTCCATTGCGCAATAATATGTTTATTTGCAATGTGACGATATTTAAGCAAATGTAACTTTATACGGAACATACTCGACTATCTCTATATATATATATATATATTCAAACTTTTAACTCTACAAAGGAGGAAGCTTTTCTCGAAACATTTATACACTAATGATTCTTATACAACGAAAGAAATATTGCGTAAAACGCGGATTAGTGGACTCACGTGAAACGGCATGACAACCCAGCCACAAACGGTTAATCGAAAAAAAAAAATAAAGAAACGGACAGGCGAATCAAATCGCATCGACGTGCGTCCTGCGTGGCAAAATCAGGCAAGAGAGAAAGAGAAAGGGGATTACACGTGTTGAGCAAGCACGCAGATATTCAGCTGGCGAGCCACTCGACGGATCGAGATTGACAGTAAATTGGCTTGCGGATTAACTGCAATAGCGGATGACGGCGATGGGTCCGGAATAGAGGAACGGTGTCTCGTGATGGGCGAATGATGATGGAAAAATGGAGGGTGACGGAGAAATGGGGACTCCGTGGAATAAATAACTCGGAAATTGCGGGGAAGTCTTGCTATTCAAAACTTACAACAATGTTAGTAAAAAAAAAAAAAAAGAAACACCTAACGAAAGATAAAAATTTGTATTACCGAGTGAGAGAGTATAAATATGAAAATAAAAGAAATATAATATAATTATAAAAAATTAATATATTTTTCAGATAAAAAAATTATGATTGAAATATCGCGGTTAAAATTTCGTTCAGCTTCACGCAAACAAAAGAAAATAAATAACGAACGCATAATGTACATAAAATATGATATTTGCAATTTCCCAGCGATAGGAAATTTCGTAGACTATTATTGGAATAAAAATTTCATGATTCGTGCATTTTTATACTTGCAAATATATAGATTGACTGCGGAATTATTTCCACGAGATCGAATGTATAATCTGTCGCTGAAACTCATGCATGGAATAGAGAATTCGTTGCATTACGTACGCAGAATCTCGGAATAGATTAAATCTAAAAACAAGTCAATTCACCATGCCATAGTCGTCATCGTACGTAAAGTCATCTTCGTTTCTGAAAACACTTTTATCGTTCTTACGGGTGACACTGATTATTTTACTTTTCTGAAACAGTTTTTTCAGGAGTGAGGCTTTGTTCTAAAGCCACTTGTCGGATTCTCTCCCTTTCTTCCTAAGAATCATTCGACCGTTATGTTCTTTTTTCTTTATTCTTCTTCTCGAACAAGGTATGAGAAAGGGAGAGAATAGGAACGACAAAAGAGAGAAAGAGAGAGAAAAAGAGAAAGAAAAGAGGGACTGGATACGATGGAGTGTGAATTTCATTTTGGCCAATCAGAGGAGCGGCTGGTCACGATCAGCTCTTTCGTCCACTGTGGATGATGAGAAAAAAAATTACAAAATCCACTACAATCCGTTTTCTAGACTGCCAGAGCTCTGTTCGTCTCATTTGAAGCGTGAAACTAATCCCTTGAAATCGATAGCCGGTTGATTTCATTGGCTATTTTGTACTCGGACGCTCAACGTTACGTCGGACGTAATACGCTCCAATTATTACAAAATAACGTTCGTTTTCGAAGCAGCGACGCGTGTGAACATGCTTGTGAAGCTGTTTTGAATAGCTGTACCGTTAGCAATGTTAGCATGATGTACCACGTAAACGTGTCTGTTCACCAATTCACGATTCAAATTTTTGGCAGAACTGATTCGGAGATCCGGCAACAAAAATCCGTCGTTCTGTCAAAAAGTGATAAAAAGGAAAAATAATTTTCTCTCTCGCAAAATTTTTCCGCAAAAAAGAGAACAGAGTTCTGCCAAGAGAAGTCCGCTATTTACAGCCTAATTGAACACCATGACAGGAGGACACTGACGGTCGGTGTAGTGCGTGCGAATCGGTGCAAAATCAATTTCGCTTCACTTTAAAAGCATCGTAGACGTCTGTACGTGTTTACTCCAATGTCTCTCTCTCGTGAGTCAAATATTTCATATACACATTTTATATTGTTCACCTCACAAAAAAATCAATCGAGCATAGGATTAGGTAGGGTCGATGAGATAAAAAGAAAAAAAGGAACAAGATAGTGGAACGCGAGGGGAGGATTATGGCTTGAAGATTTTCACAGCATGGCACTTCGGTCTCGTGATCTTTTAATCCAGTTCTTGAGCCAGTCCACCTTTGTGAGAGTTAAGAATGGAGAAGAAAAGAAAAGCGTGTGGTAGAAGAAGATAGACTCTCCGACTCTTCAATTTTTGAGGTGTTTGTGGGAACGTATACGATAATCGTTTTCCGAAGTCGTATAAAAATGATTTACCGAGTATTTTACCGAGTATCATCATCGTGTCGTCGCGATCGTTTTAATGTTCTTTTTTTTTCTTTCTTCGGTGCGATACTGGGAATATCGCAAAACGATTACATATTTTTTTTTATAAGTAATAAATGTAGACAGCTCGTGATATACGTTAGACGATACGTTTCTTTTTCAATTTCATTAACGACCGAATCGCCACGTTTTTCTCTAAAAATTACGAAAATCTGCGTGACTATTCACGCGTTATGGTATAATAATATAGACAACGCGCGCAAAAATTCTTGTTTTTCTCCCTTCGCGATGAATATGAAGTGCCATACTTCTTATCATGTATCAACTATGAAAATATACGACATATATTACAATGTATACGAAGCTCTTAACTCGCGAAGTTCGTCGCGAACGGCTTTTATCGATACTCTAATTTAAACGGAGATTAATAGAAAAAAAATGGTGATAGTCTAGCGCTCATGTTAATTCGGCTGCAAGTTCTAAATCATCATTTCATTTTCATAAATCATTATTATCTCACGCTTTTAGTCGGAGAACTCAAACTATTCCGCAGCGATAATTAAACCAATGTCGCGATTGATTTGTTACGAGTATATTTCATTTTTAAAACTGACATAACGTAGAAAAATTTATATGTAAATAAACGCGTTGAAATAAATCTAATTCTAAAGTTTCAAAGTTCAAAAGAAAAAATCAAAAAAAAGGAATGTAATATTTTGTGTTCAGTTTATTGTAATTTTATCAGTTATTATATTATTTTAATGACATGATGTGAGTAATTGTTTGACGATTAATTAATTTGCGTAACAAGATCCATGACAACGGGTTTCGGCGAAATACGAAATACGAATCACGTGATGCCCTGAAATATCAGATAGCGATCGCTCAAGTCTTCAATAACACAAAATTAATCAATACATAATGGAGCCCGGTTTCCTCATAATTCTGTTGCCATGTCCGATACCGTTAATTAATCCGCTTTCATTATGTCTACATATGCATATATTACATCTCTTGAATAGTTAAATTTTTTTATTGGTTAGAAAAGCCATGCATGCGTGGCAAAGCAAATTTGTTTGTGCTTGGTAAAGGAAGTATAAATCCCTGTTGTATAACAGAGGAACGAGTAACGTAATAAAATAAGTGAGTGAGAGAGAGAGAGAGAGAGAGAGAGAGAGAGAGAGAAGAACACACGCGCGATAAAGAAAGAAAGACAGAGGGACAAAAAGCGTAAAAAGAAAAAAAGAAAAGATAAGAGGAAGACACCGTAGAAATCGTAACAATTGTACGTTTTTTTTTTTTCGACGTGTGTACTGTCGTTTCTTTCCATTCCATTTCTGTATTTTGCACCGCACACCTACGTACGCACGCACGCACGCACGCACGCAGGCACGCACGCACGTACACACACACGCGCGCGCGCGTAGTCTCAGGCACACAGTGTCAGTTTAGTTCTCGTGTGAGACCAGGGGAAAAGGGATCCCTTTTGGACGATCCCCGTGTGGGTGATGTATTTTCTTCGATTGCGTACTCTTTTTTTTTTTTTTGCTAACAAATCTAGGGCAACTGCTTCTATCACTGCGAAATACGTGCGCCCATCTCGTTTCACGATCCTTTTTCTTAGCGCGTTTTTCGAGACGCAACGTTAACAATCTCAATCTTGCGATCGGCAATTCCGCGTGCGAATCAATACTGCAATACTTGAGAAAGTGTTCAAGGAGAGTATACAGTTATACGAGTAACAACAACAATGGCGTCTTCTCTATAAGCTTGCCCAGCCCTGACTCGAGAAAGTAAAGCTTTTTTTTATTTTCTTTTTGGTCAAGTTAGTATAAAGCTCAGAGAGAGAGAGAGATATATATATATTTGCGTTATGGTTAGATAATAGAAGAGAAAAAGAGACAGTATAGACTTGTGACAAATAGATACGTTATAAAAGAGCGAGTGGATATAGTGTGCGTTTAGCCAGACAGCGAAGATAGACGTAGAGAAGTGAACAGGCGGGTTGAGAACGGCACGTTACGCGGTAAACAAAAAAAAAAGAAATAAGGATAAAAAGAGAGCAAGAAAAAGAAAGAGAGAGAGAGAGAGAGAGAAGAAAAGGTAGAGA